ACCTCATTTTATACTTTAATCTCGTAGTGATGGGATTGAAAGTAATTATTTTGATATTCTAAAATTGACACTGAAGATGTATTAATGAGTTTACAAAAAACACTAAAATGTCCATTTCATGCGTGGAATTTTCATTTTTTTTAATCTGATGATCTCTCACTATCACTAGTTTACTTTTCATTATTTTGATATTAAATACATCATGTTTTTATTGAAGTTTTGAATTCTTCGATACACTATAAATGAATTAAAAGAGAATAGGTTTTTCCAAGATTAGACCTAGATAAAGCTTCAAGCTTCATAAACATCTGCAAAAAAATGCGGTATTTTACTTGCAACTTAACGTTGGGCACATTCTTTTTGTGAAAACTTTGCCCATGTGGGTGTTAGTATGAAGTGGCCGTATTCTTCTCTCACGCATACTCTGATCATTCTAACGAAAAATGTGTCCAATATGTCTTCTTTGAATCGTATTATATAATCATGGAAAAATAGATCCGTCTGCATCAATGACAGTTCATTGGAAAGAAAAGAAATTGAGTAATGTGTGGTAGGGTCCTAGCTACAAGTCTACAATACTAAAATGCCATTAAAATTTGATACCACATGTGAGCTCTTCACTAGTGAGGTTGTCATTTAAAATTCACCTTAGAACTCACGTCTACAAGCTTGTCTCTAATTTAAAAACTTTTTTCAGCTAGTCTCAATCAAAGAAATATTTGTTAGCTTCGATTCTTTGCATATTCGTATCCCTACTACTGAATCTTACACTAAGAGTTCTCTACAGAAATATGCCGGGTAGAATGAAAGAAACGCTTACTTTGGTTTGTCGCACTAGCCATCAGTGTGTATTCAATTGAAAAAATGACGATAGCTTACATTCATCTTCACCTTTATGTTTATGTTGATTCTACCATAGTAACATTATCATAAAAGCTCGGAAGATAAAAAAGAAAACACAGACACAAGTGCAGGATAACAAAAAAGCCTACAGAAATAGAAACAGCTCGCCAAATTCTATCAAATAGGGTGTGGGTGTGAGATGTGGATGCCTGTGAGTGTGAGTCTACTTTCTACCCACACCCACACCCACTCACCCACATCCAGAAATCAATATTAGAAAAACCTATAATATACGATTCGATGCATCTTCATTTCCTCTTTCCAACGATGAAAATCGCAATTCTTCATCTTGTTTATATCAAAAGTTATTCAAAAGATATCAAATATGTACTAGTACAACCAGGCACATATCATAGTGAAACAAATCTTATCGAAAGTTTATTATTATGATATTAGTTGAAGTATGATCAAATAGTATAGAAAAATAGAGTATTATTTTCTCTATCAGACTGTATAGAGAGAAAGTTTCTTAAAACTTTTTATTAGGAATTACAGCACCACTCTCACTACTTGTTGACTGCCCCATGTAAATCAATTTATTGAGCAATGAAGAAAAAAAACAAATTACATTTTCTTTCCATTTTTTTCAAATATTTCTTTATATTCCTAAAGATGAGAATGAGTTGAAGGTAATTTTTCTTGAGCTATTTTTATCGCTTGTTGAATATTTTTCATTGCCATATAATATTGTCGAGTAGATAAATATAATTTTACCATATAATGATATACAACAGCTAAATCAGGATGATTTTTTGGTAATTTCTTCTCACGTATTTCTAATCCTTTTCGAAAATATGTCAATGCTGTTGAATAATCTTTCATTTCACGAGAATTTTCACCTAAATTTATATATGTCGTTGCACATTCCAAAGGATTACATTGAACATTTTCTTGAATATTCAATGCTTTTCGATGAAATGAAAGTGCCTGTTCATAATTACCCATTAATCAATGAACATCACCAACATTACTACATGTAAAAGCTATATCCGGATGATTTTCATGTAAGGCTTTTTGACGCATTGAGCAGAGGCCGAAACGGGGTGAATTTTAGCTCCCCCGCCTCCCCTCGCCTCAAACAATTTTTCCCCGCATCGCCTCGCCCCGAACCCAAAGTTCTTTTTTCGCCAAATCCCCCCGCCTCGCCCCCGTTTCCCATTTTTTTCTTCGCCCCGTCTAGACTGGCCCCGTTTAGGTTGCTCCCCGCCCCGTGTGAGTTTCTCCTCGCCCCGCTTCATCCCAACCCGCCCCGTGTAAGTTATCCCTTGCCTTGCCTTGCCTCGCCCCAGATTTACATTATTTCTTCATCACCTTCTTTTATGTTTATAGAATATTTGTATTTCTTTGACCACATCATTGATTTGACAATATATTGCAAGTAGATACAAAAGCACAACAGTGCCCCTTTGAGTCTGGGATTATTTTTAAGCACTAGGATTTCTTAAAATTTCAAATCAATGTTTATTTTTTCAATAATATCAATAATACACGATTCAGAATGCTTGTGGAGTATGATAGTCCTTAAAACAATCTATTAGACACAACTCCACATCACTCGATACATTCTTACGACGTGTCTCTCCCAGACTTGACTCTTCTCACAGTATGAGCACAAATATAACACTTTCTTTTGGATTTTCTTGAGTGACTGTTGATGCAATGCATGAAGAAAAATGTCGCGCTGTGAGTCGAAGTGGATTTTCAGAGGATATGAGTGGTGGGTGTGGATGTAGTGTAAGATAATGCCAACATCCACATCCGCCCATAGCCACACCCACACCCACACCACACGCACAGAAATATGCAATATGTTGAGGCCAATCACGTTTTCATTTAAATAATAAGAACAAAATAGGTATATATACATCAGTCGCAGAGAGAACAAGAATCTACTCGGACGTGC